TCCTCCTTTTCCCCTTGTCTTTCTTTCCTCGCTCAGAACCTCCTGCCAGCTCCCCTCGTCCTCCCCAGTGTTGCTGAACTGGACCTCTTCAGGTGAGGAGGGCTCTCCCTGCTCCTTGCAAAAACAGCTCCTGGCCAGGGTGGGGAGGAAACCTGCCTGGCCAAACCCTCAGACGAGCCTGGGGCAAAGCCTCGGCCACAGAAACACGGAGGAGGAGACTGTGAGCGCTCAAGACAGGGTTCACACCACACCCTGAGGGGCTGAGCGCTTGTTAAGTTCCTAGAACCTGGCCAAAGATGGGGCTGGGGGCTGCGGGGTTCAGCACAGTGCTGGAGGGCGGCTTTTGGTGTATCCGCATTCGATGCCCAGCTGTGCCATTTTCCCTTTTCTGCTCTTGGAACAGGTGCTTCCAGTCGGTGCTGGTCCACATTCAGCTGCTGTGGGAGCTCGTTCTGCTCGGGGAGCCTCTGGTGGTGGTGGCCCCTTCCCCCGCCATGTCCTCCGAGGTGGTCCTTGCCCTAGCCAGGTACCAGACTCACACCCAGTCCCCTGCAAAGCTGCTGGTGGCCGATAGGGAGGCCCTGGCCAAGGGACCTCTCCAGGCAGCCCCGCCTCCCCATAGTCCAGCCCAGCTCTGGCTGCTCTCAAACAGGAATTGTTTTCTTCAAACCCCCACCCCCACCCCCCAGCTGCCTGGCGCCCTTGAAGTACTGCTGCGATTTCCGCCCGTACTTTACTATTCACGACAGCGAGTTCAAAGAGTACACGACGCGTACGCAGGGCCCGTGAGTCTCCTCCCGCACAGGGTGCCTGTCGGGGCTCCAGAGAGGAAGCCCTTCCTCACCCCTCTGCTTGCTCCCCTCAGCCCCAGCGTGCTCTTGGGCGTCACGAACCCCTTCTTTATCAAGGTGCTGCAGCACTGGCCCCACATCCTTCGCCTTGGGGAGCTCCGGATGGCTGGTAAGGCAGGGCTGGGCCCTCTTGGTGCAGCTGTGGGGATGACTAAGAGAGCTTGCCCGTAGTGTGGGCATGAGAGGCAGCCAAGCCTGAGACCAGAGGCGAGAGGAGGGTTGGCTCCCGGGGGGAAGCTGCCACATTGGGCCTGGAGCCTGGGCAGGGGTCTGGCAATGGCAGCCCAGCCTGATACTCCCATGTGTTGATCCTACCATGCAGGGGACTTGCCCAAGCAGGTCAAGCTGAAGAAACTTGCCAAGCTGAAAACCTTGGACACCAAGCCAGGTGAGCCTCCTGCTGACCCTCTTTCTTCCCAGCTCCTGCTGCTGGATAGGGAGGCCCAGGCGGGAACCTCAGCCAAGCAGAGCCTGTTCTGCAGCTGGCTTGGAGGGTGCCCCCCCACCCCCATCCCATTCTCCTTGTCTTTTCTCTGATTGGCTCTTCTGGCCCCATCTCAGGACTTTACACGTCATACAAAGCATTTTTGCACAAGGACAAGATACTGATCAAGACACTCCTGAAAGTGAGTCAGAGCCAAAATTCTGCAATGGGCTGCAGGCTTTCCTGGGCCTCCTCCCTTTGCAGAGTCGGAAGAAAAGAATAAAGGGCAGGGGGAGGCTGCCCTACCAGAGGCACGGGGGTGGGGAGGGGACACCTGCTCCCCCTTCCTCTAGGCACAAAGTGGGCCACTGGCCAAAGCTGCTTGGGCTCCTGAGCCCCCCCCCCCAAAGCAGTTCAGCAGGAACACAGGCGGTGGGGGAGGGACGGTCCTGGTAGGCTTGCTAGGCGGAAGGTTCCAGCCGAGCCTTTCCTGAAAGGAGGCCTGGCCTGAAAGGAGACTTCAGCCTCAGCAGACCTCACCTCCCTGCCCTGCGGCATCCTCTCCTGAGGCCATTCCCTCCCTTCCCGGGCAGGTGGGGCCTGGTTGGTTTCCCCCTCCCTGGTGTTTCCTGAACCGATGAGCAAGAGAAGCCACCCTGGGTGCCCCCTTTGGGGCCTCGCTGTTGGGCAGCGCAGGGCCGGTGGATCTTGGCTGATCCCTGCCGTGCTCCACAGGGCATCCAGAAGAAGCGCCCGTCCGAGGCCCAGAGTGCCCTGCTGAGACGCCAGCTCTTGGAGCTCACCCAGAGCTTCATCATCCCCCTGGTAAGTGGGGGACGGAGGGAGGAAAGGGGCTGTCTGTGGCTGGGAGAGGAGCCATGGCAATAGAGAGGAATGGCTCCCCACTGTCCCCTGTGAGAAACTCCCCTCCCCACCCCCGCCCGACTCCCATCTGCCGCCTCCTCCTCCTCCTCCTCCCTAGGAGCACTACATGGCAAGCCTGATGCCTCTGCAAAGGACCATGACCCCGTGGAAGGTACAGCCTTTCCCGGTTGCCTGTGCTGGGGTGGGCCTCGCTCTCTGGCTGCCCAGCATGACTGCTTCTCTCTCCCTTTCTATCTACTCTCAGACTCCCCCTCGGATCCGCCCTTTCCATCAGGAAGACTTCCTGAAGAGCTTGGAACAGGCCGGCCCCCAGCTCACCTGTGCGCTCAAGGGTGACTGGCTGGCCCTTTACAGGTACACTGAGCCCCCCACATAGCCCCTCCTCTGGGTCAAAGAGCCTGACAGGGCAACCCACCCACCCCGCTCCATCCGGGAAATTATCCCAGAGACAAGACACCCCTGTCTTGCTCCCTAATCCCACCTCCTCCTGGGACAAAAACAGAGGCCCTGTTGGCAGGATTCACCTTTCTTAAGCGAAGGTCTTGCGCAAGGGAAGAGCCAGACACTGCACAACGGAGTCACCAAGCAGGTTGCATGATGACGCTTTTTAAAACTGGCCTAAATCGGCTCCTGCCACTGAAATCTGGCCAAGCCCATCCTCTGGACTGACACCGCCTCCTGTCCTCTCCTCCCCCACAACAGGCGATTTTTTAAGTCTCCCAACTTCGACGGCTGGTTTCGTCAGAGGCACCAAGAGATGAGGCATAAGCTGGAAGCTCTGCACCTGGAGGCCATCGCTGAAGCGGTGGGTGGGAAGACTGCTTGGGGGGGGTGCACCTTTGAATGGGTGAGCCCCCCAGTCTCAGTCTATCCACTTTCTGTAGGGCAAGGCTCTAGAACAGGGTGGGGAGGGAGGTGAAGCAACCCAGTCTCAGCAGACTCGGGGTCCAGGCCAGGTGCTCCTGCTTGGGCGCTCCTGGGCAGAGCGAGAGCAGGAGGGGGCCCTCCTCTGCTCCTCTTCCTTTAGAATATCAGGGCCTGGATGGTGGACAAGTCCGAGGCAGAGGCCGTGGACCTGGTGCTGAAGCTCCAAGAGAAGCTGGTAAGCGGCTTTCCCTCAGCCCTACCCAGTTACCCCACCACCACCAACAGCCCGTGGTCACTGTGCAGGGGAGCCAGCACAAGATAGCCTGTAGCATCTCAGCCATTCCAGGAACAGACATACTGGCTCCACCTATGACGACTGCCCAACCCCACCCCTAGGCAAATACAGCCGTTGCATGGAAAGCAGCCAGGTGGGGATTTCCCTGTTGGGGGGGGGGGGCGGCAAGTGTATTGGGAAGTCTTTTTGGTCGACCTCCAGCTCCAGGTGCTTGTTCAGAGGGCTCCTGCCAGGATCGCTGACTGGGAGGAGGGGGCTCGCTGTCTGGTTGATTCCTCCATGCAGGTCCAAGCCAGGAGCCGAGGCTTCCCTGCCAGAGAGGAGACGCTCCAGCGAGTGTGTCAGCACATCACTCTTGTGGTCCGGTCGCTGCCCAAGGACCTCCAAGCCATTCTGTGTGGCCAGGAAACGGCCAGTGCCAGCTGAAGGGGGCAGCTCACTGGGGGCCAATTTAAGGGGGTGGGGGCTCTTTGAGCTCTTTATAGCACAGGAGTGGTTCTGGGAGGCGAATGGAGAAGGTGCCAAGCCTGGGTGGAAGTGGAATGGTGCAGTTGACATGTTGCTGTGTGATGTACAGTGGTTGTGTGTTCTCAAGAGAGGCTAATAAAGTTGAATTATCAGAAGGGCCCTCAACTGAGCTTCCTTTGGAGATTTGTTACACTTTTTATCCCACCACAGTTCTGGAATCCGTCTGTTCAGAGAAGGGCAGCAGAAGCCGTCGTCTCTTCAAAGCATCCTGGACACGCCTCTTGGTCAGCAGAAAGATGGCTAATAAAAAGCTCACCAAATTTAAGCCTAGAGTGGATGCTTGTGCGATAGGAAGGGTTTTTCCTTCTCCCTGTGTCCAGCCCAAGTGGGTTACTGGAAGGCACCAGGGCCTACATGGGAGGAACTGCGCAGAGCGCCCCCCACCCTGTGTTTCAATTGCTTGGCTGAGCTGCCAGGGGAGGAAAAGCTCCCCCTCAGCCTTGACTAGAAAGACTCGTTCTGGCCCCCAAGAGGTGAGGAGGAAGCGGGGGCTATGAGCCGAGGTGGCGCAGTGGTTAGGGTGCAGTACTGCAGCTACTTCAGCTGACTGCTAGTTCAGCAGATCAGCGGATCAAATCTCACTGGCTCAAGGTTGACTCAGCCTTCCATCCTTCCGAGGTGGGTAAAATGAGGACACAGATTGTTGGGGGCAATATGCTATTTAGTATACTGTCTTTGGTGTAAGCCGCCCAGAGTCCTCGGAGAATGGGCGGCATAGAAATATGAATAATAAATAAATAAACAAACAAGGGTGGACAGGGGGGCTGTGTCGATGCTCTCCCACCTCCTCACCCTTTTAGGAGTCTCGGAGGCAGCAGGATACCCCTCAAGGTGGGGGGGAGGCTTGGCTGTGCCCACAGGTCTGAGGTTACTGGAGAACCGGAGCTTCAGCGACCCTACCAGGGCAGCCCTGTCTCTGGCCTTGGGATCTGGGTGGTGCCAGACGGAACGCACATTCAGAGCCCAAACAGGCAGCATTTGCTTCTCTTGCACTGACAGTTCAGAGGGTGGGATTCCTTGTCCCCCACCCTCCCCCACTTCAAAGGGAGGCCTTGCTAGCTGGCTGGAGCCAAGCAGGCCCCGAGACTTTGCGGCGATGATCCATAACTAGAGGGCTGCCCACCACCCCCATTGAAGAGAGGCCGTGGGGTGAAGCTCCCTGCACATTTTATTTAGCAGAACAGCCATTTGCCTGAAATGGTACAGGGTCTCCTGCTGAAGCAGGGGGTTGGAGTAGAAGGCCTCCGAGGTCCCTTCTAGCTCTATTATATTCTATTGTTTTATTCAAGGGGTACTTGCTGCCTCTCATGCGCATCTGGACCCAGAAAGGCTTTCGGAGCTAGCCAGACGCAGCCAAGGAGTCATCGAAGGAGGCCTTCAGGTCCGGCGAGCAATACAGCGGGAGCCGCTCACCCGCAACCTCCTGGCGGAAGCTGCTCCTCAACCAGCCATAGACCAGGCTGTGCAGGAAGCCCTGGAGGGGGGCAGTCAGGGCCTGGGCAGGGCAGAGAAGCTGGCCGTGATTCTCTTGCAGGTGTCTGCTGACCACCAAAGGTGGCCCCTCTCCTCCCCCTCAACTCACCGTGGCCACCAAGAGAGGAAAAAGGGTGGAGAGCTGCAGGCGGGTGAATGATAGCACCACCAGGAGGCAAGCTGTAGACAAGAAAGCCGGCCGATCACTGCCTCTGCTCAGCCTGCTGGCCTAGTCTGCATGGTGGGTGAAGCGCTTGGCAGCAGGCGGGCCAGACTCAGAAGGACAGCTGGGAAACGGGCACAGGCCACTGACCTGGCATCCAGCAGAACACGAGGACCAGCTGGAAGCTGCGGGTGACATGGCTTCTGCTGGCAAAACCCTCGCTCCGCAGCCCGTGGCGGTACCGGCATTGCCATCTCTTCACCCTGCAGTAGAGAACCTGCCCAAGGAGGGCAGTGGCATCAGGAAGGCCACATCCAATCCTGGGGCAGACAGGGCAACCTCCGTGGGGTCTTGGGGGAGCCAGAGGCTCCACGCCCACCCCGGCAGCCAATGGGGAGAGGGTGGACGTCTCCCACAAAACCACCTGCCTCGCCGACAGAGTTCTGCCACTGATTGTAAAGCTCCAGCCTAAAAGAAACTCTCAAAATTTAAGTCCAGGCAATAACGTTTTAAGCGTGATAGACCAAGAGTTTCTTTTCTTGGCACCAGAGATGGCTTCGTTGGCCATGAAATAAAGCCGGAGGGGCAAAAGCCAGGGACAAGATGGCGGCTCTTTTGCCACTGGCTTGGTTTGGGCTCAGGCAGGGAGTGTGGGCAGGCAGGCGAGCTGGCCTGGCCTCTCAGCAGCCCTTTAAAAGGAAAAAAAGCCCCTGCCTCAGCCAGATGTTTCAACCCAGCCCCTAGATCTAGCGCTGGAACCAGCCCCTTCCGGTCAGCCCCTGGAGCTTCAGAAAAAGCAAACCCTTCTGCTTTCTTCACTCTTGTGCCCTTCATTGTCTTAGTTGGTAAGCAAGCCCCCTCCCCAAAGTATCTGCCAGGGTCGTCTTGTTTCTCCCATCCCCAGAAGTCCACAGAACAGGACGGCCACACGCATCACTTACCACGCAAGCGGACACAACCAAGGCCAGAAACACCAGGAAGAAGATGCTGCTGTCCTTGCGCGAGTGCTGGGAGGCAAGAGGGGGGCTTGGCTGCCTGGGGGCCTGGGCAGCAGCATTGGAATACGGTAAAGAAAAGCATATATTAAGAAATGGCTTTCCTGTTGTATCTTTATATATATTATATATATGTTATATATATATATATTATATATAACAACAAACACATCCCTCCTCATCATTTCAGACCTGGTGTCACCATTGAGGGTAACGGGAGATAACAACCCACCTATGTTAACCTATACATTTTAATTCCTCAAAATTGTCTTTAAACCTCCTTTTGCTAAGTATTGAAGGAAATTTACCCAGTGGTGTAGAATTTTTTGCTGCAAAGGTTTGTAATGGCTAAAAAGCAGTGAACAATTTCCAAAAAGGAGTAGAAAAATAAGCAAGGAAACCCAGCATCCTTTTAAAGGCACCGACCACAATTTGAGCACAATGGCCGCTTCCTCAGAATCCCTTGGAGACTCTGGTCTTGCAACTGCCTGGACCTCCTGAGGGGGATCTCGGAGAGGAATTACAAAATGCAGGTCTACTTCCCAGCTGCTCATTCCCCTGCGGTCAGTCCCAGCCTCCGCTTTACTTAGAAGTCCGAGGAGGGGGAGGCATTTCCAACTCATAAGAGCAACCAACCAGTGACGCCAACTGCCTGAGGCAATGGAGGCTGCCCTTCACTGACCTCTTCAGAGAGAGGGTGGGCCATCAATGGTCAGGGATGCTTTGAACCACCATTATCTGCCCAACGAAGAGGGAGAGTGGAGGATACAGCTGGGCCAAGACTGCCATACCTTATAGCAGGAGTTGTGGGAAAGGTGGATGAGAATCAGGCAGCTGCAAGGGGAAGGAAGAAGGTGAGAAGGATCTCCAGCCCAGGCCCCACCCGAACCCTCTGGGACCCAGGGGAGGGGAAGATGCCCACCTGGAGCAGGAGAGGTTGGAGGCCCCTGAGGAGTCCATGCCTGCCTGGGGCAAAGGCTGGAGGAAGGCCTCGCTACTCAGGGGCCTGCTGCTTAGGACTATCAGAGCCAGAACTACCAGGCAAGGGAGCAACCTGGAAGGCAAAGGGAAATCTCTGGGGAGGGGTCCTGGAGGGCCAGAGACCCCCCTCCGGCCATTCACAGGCTCCCTTGCACTCTACCTACCAAGCCAGGGTATAGGGCAGAGCCAGCTGGAACCTGGGGCAGTAGGAGCTGTCCTCCTGGGAAAGAGAGAGAGATTTGGAGCACCAACAGAAGGATGACCTTGTGGGCATGGTGAAGAAGAGTGTTGGCCTTGGGAAAAGGCGGCGGAGGCAGCCTAGCTCCCATCTAAACTGGAATGCCAGGCACAATCCCACCCCATGGGGGTCAAGCAGTTCCTCAGGGGGACACGCGTGATTGCGCGTACACAAACACACACACACAGACATCCTTAATGGGGACTTCAGAACTGGAGGTGCAGGGAGCCCAGGTGCCACAAGGGCTTTTGGCCAAGATTAGGGCCGACTGGCTGAGCCCTCCTCCCGCCTGGGCATGATGGTATGAGGTTGGGAGTATGAGGTTGCGGGGGGGGGGAGAGTTGCTCTCAAACTCCCCCTCCAGCATCTGCCCATCCACACACTCAGGCAGGCAAGCCTGCACATGGCTCCAGCAGCAGCAGCAGGGCGAATGAAGTGTGTGTGGGGGGAACTGGGGCCACACCCCAGAGACCAGGGGTGAAATCCAGCAGGTTCTGGACAACTGGTAGTGGAAATTTTGAGTAGTTCGGAGAACTGGCAAATACTACCTCTGGCTGGCCCCAGAGTGGGGTGAGAATGGAGATTTTGCAGTATCCTTCCCCTGCCATGTGCACCAAGCCACGCCCCACCAAGCCACGCCCACAGAACCAGTAGTAAAATAATTTGAATCCCACCATTGTCAAAGACCTCCATACCTGAGTCACTCTCCAGCCTCTGACTGCCTGGTTCACTTCACATGCGTAGACGAGCACCATCAGCAGAGAGATGGCATAGAACATCTGAGGGACAGGAGGGGAGGCACATATGGGCTGCAACAGAGGCAGCTCTCCCTGCGGAACCATCTCTTCCCTAGGTTTCTGGATGGCCCGTCCCTCCCGCCCCTTCCATTCTGGCTCTTAGGTGGGGCTCTTCCCCTGCGGATGAGACTTCCCTCTCCCCGGCTGGAGGACTCAGGACTGACCCACCAGCCACCCTCTCCGACACGGACTGGGCTGGGCCAGCAGTGAATCGCCCCACCCCCCACCCACGCATAGACCTGCCACCCCTCCAGTGTCACCCCAGGAGGGGCTGAGTTACCATGCCAAACATCCGCCCATACAGGCAGAAGCCGTGGGCCGCCCCAAAGTGCTGGGTGGGAAGGAGGTGGAGGGCCATGGTGGGGATCAGCACCGCAGCGCCCAGGAAGTCCGCGAGTGAGAGGAGGACGAGAGGCCGGAGCTGTGGACAAGCAACAGGTGAGAAGCCGCCGCTAGCCACCCAGCAGGCAGAGCCACCCTCCTTTCTGTGCCCCTTGCAGCACAGCTTTTGTCCAGCGGTGGTCCCTCTTGGCACCCAAAGTGGTGCTTCTCTGGCTGCTCCAACCTTTTCCCATAGCCCAGGTGGAGGCAGCCTCCCAGGTCTGGATGGCCAGGACTTCAATTTCAATCTCTGCAGAACCCTAATCACTCGGGGGCGGGCGGGATGTCAGCTGAATGCAGCCACATTTGGACAAGATAAACATCCGCAGGGGAGCCTGCCCTACTACCTTAGGGCTGGAAGGGACCTTGGAGGTCTTCTAATCCCCCCCCCACGCTCAAGGCAGGAGTCCTTGCATCTTATGCCTTTCTCAAGCGAAGATACCTCCCCATTTTTTCAAGACACCCGTGTCTGTCCCTGGCAATCTGAACTAGCCAGTTGTGCCAGGCTTTTAGCAGGGCTGCCATGCGGCTCAGCTTGGGGCAGCAGCCTCAGCCTGTCAGGGTTGGCGCTGGCTCAGTCATGGGAGGCAGAATTGCCCCATGGTTAATAAAAATGGACCCGTTTCCAAAAGAGGCCCTGGGCACGCGGCTGGTTCCTGTGCCCTACACCTGGCAGTGAATAGGGGCTGTCCATCTTCAGGGGGACAGTGGCCACTTTTGCCCTTTTAGGCATTTTTGCAGACGGCCTTCCCTAGAAATTAGGTCTCCAGGTGGAATTGCTTGTGCTTTAATCGCAGCGCTTTGACCTCCATTTTCGGTTCTCTATGGTGTTTTACCGCACAGCATCAGAGTTGTGTAGGAGGATAGAAAGCAGGAGGATAGAAAGACTGCAAAGGGAAAATGGGCTGCACCGCACTCTGCCCTTGGCAGCAGTCCTCAGGGATAGGCGGCTTCCTTCTGGAGCACTTCAATTGAGCCCATGGCAGGGATTGGCATCTTGGCATCAAGGATGCCCTGCCAACTTTCAGGCCTCAGTCCGACTGTAACAGGCTATCGGGACAACTCATTTCACCAGCCTGGTTAAAGATCTATCACCTGCCAAACCTGCGTTCATTGAAGTTGGTGTGTGTTCTTGCACAAACCCAGCCAGCTTGTGTTATAATTCAGTGCCCTGTGAAGACCCAGAGAAAGAGTGAGGTATAAAGCAGGTTGCCAAACACCGGGAGGCCATTGGGAGTCACCCATCAAACCTGGTCACAGCAGCATTGTCTTCGGCGGACGGCCATGGCCAGAATGGAGCCACTGCCCAGCAGGCTGAAAGAGAAACCCAGCGGGATCAAGCGGGCCCAGCTGCCCCCACAGATCCACCCAGGGCTGGGCTTTTCCCTCCCTCTGCTCCCCAGTCAAGTTTGGCTTGGGAGCAGGCAGAAGTCCCAGGACTTTCCTCTACACCCCCACCTCCCACCCCACTTAGCAACCATCAATCGTCTGAGAACAGGGGCCTCCCTCCAGCCCTGCACCTGAGGAGGCGTACTCATTCATAGACCCTGCAGGAAGGGGGGGGTCACTCACAAGCAAGGAGAAAAAGACCCTTCCTCCATCCCACACCTGCCCTGCAGCCGATGCCTTGGTCCTTAGATCTTACCGGGCTCTCCTCCCACTCCCCCAGCAGGCCCACAAGCAAGCCCCTACTGGCTGGGTCAGGCACAGGCACCCACCCTCCTTCGCAGGGGAGCCAGATGTAGAGAATTACCGCCCTGCCCCAGAGTTAATTTGTCTCATGCTTCCCACCCAGAAGGCAGGACAAGACCAGATTCAGACCCAGTGGTTTATTGTCACCCACATTCCCGAGGCTGCTGGAGATGGGGAAGTGAGCAAGACTCCCCTATCCCCTGGGAGTCCGGCAGGGGAGCTTAGCCAGCCCCTCTGCTCACCTGAGGGAGAGGGTCACCAGGTAGATACACACCAAGACCAGGATCTAGAGAAGAAGCAGAAAGTTCAGGGAGGGGCCATCCAGTCGAAACCAAAGCACCGCAGAAGAAAAGGCCCACCAGAACTGGGCCAGGGGTGCCCCCAGGGAACTCCCCTCAGCACCTTCTTCTCCCTCCTTTCAGGAAGGGCTACCTTTCTTTGCCCAGAGCAGAGGACAGGCTGGGATCATCCAGTTAATGTCTTCCTAAAGTCTGCTGGCCAGCTCCACTGACCCTGGCAAGCCTTTCCCAAGGCCGCACACCTCTTCCCATTTCTGACTCTTGGTAAAGAATTCAGATGTACACGAGGAATCATAGCTTGTGAAATGCCAGCACCAGTGTTTCCCTAACCTGCGCACTGGATTGTTACTGAAAAATTGCATTTTCTCAACTAAATCTGGCATTAGGTTAATATCTCCAACCTGTTAACATCATTTTGAGTATTGTATTTTAGGGTGCTCACTCTCACTCGATGATGCTCATTCTGCATCATCAGCAAGTCTAGAAAGCATTTCACTGCCCTTCCCTCCGAGTCCTTAATTTGCAAAAATGTGTTGCTGACAAAGCCAAGTTGATCTGCAATAAAGCCTGCCTTGTTTTCAAGGCCCATGGCTGCCTGGTTCTTATTGTCCCAAGTTCTTTTGGAGGCACGGAAGCAGGGCACAGCAGGCAGCAGCAGTTTTGGAAATGTGGGCCTGCCTTTCCCAGATTCCCCCCCCCCCAACTCTTGGGTACAGCAAATCAGCGAGGCCAGCTGACTGCCCTGGAAAGCAAGTGATGGGCTTGGAAGAACTGCCCACCCCCGTGCAGTGCCAGCGCAGATGTGGGCTCCTGGCCCACCTTGGCAGAAGGTGCTGCAGGGCGAGTGCCCAGGTCTTGCAGCAACTTGGCCTGAGAAAAGGCTGTGTGAATGAAAGGAAGGAGCTCTGCCTGTCTGTAGGCGATGGGGGGAAGTCTTGGAGCCCAGCAAGGTGAGGGATGCCCTGGTTTGTCCTGCCTAGGCTAGCCATTCAATTCTGGGTGGGTGGTTGGAGTAACCTCCATCCTAGACATCCTAAATGTACAGATCCACACTGTTCTTGGGTGGGTCTGGGACGTCACACCCATCTTGTTGCTTCCACCGCCTCTCCTAGCACAGCTTCTCTAGGCGGGGCGGGGCATCTGGAATTGGCAGCCATTGTGGGAACAGCCTGTTTGCAGTTGCAAAGCCTCCCCGGAAAAAGTGGAGGCCACTGTCGAGGCAGGCTGCCAGTCAGAAATTCAGGTGAAAGTATCTTTCCGCACTGGCCTCCACACTCAAATCCGTACTACTGTTTGGCGACCTGGGCAACACACACATCCACACTGCCTGCTTTGCAGGCATCTGCAGCCCCACAGACTGTTGCGCAAAGCCAGATGCAGACAGAGGGAGGGAGCATAGCCCGGCACCAAACTCCTGCTGGCTCTGAAGGATCTTTTGCCAAGCCAGCACCATCCAGGTTTGGCAAAATGTGCAACCTCTACCCTCCCCAAAACCACTGCCTCTCCCTAGGAATGCACTCAGCCCCTGGAGGGCATACCTTGTCAGCTGGCAGGGCTGAGCCCTGCTTGCTTTCTTCAGCCATGGGGCTGCTGCAGCTTCAGCTACTGGCCTCGCCCTGTCCTCTCAGCTGAGCTGTTTTGCACAAGGGGGCCTGGCTGGAGACTGCCCCAAGGGCATCTGATGACAGCCTGCCGCTCCCCTTCCCTGAGGCCTCACCTGGCCACAACCCTGAGCAAATGCAAGGGGAGGGGCATGCTTCTCAAGCCTTCCCTGGGGCACTCAGCTCCCTTGCCCTGCTGAACTTCTGGCTCCCCACCCTCTTTCCAGCATAGGCTCTGGGCTCCCATGAAGGAGAACGTGCCCAGCAAGCTACCATCTGGATCCAGGCTGCAGCCCAGCCCACCTTTGGCACTAAGCCATCCAGTTAAAAAGCTGCACAATGGGAGGGAGACCGAAATGGCGCCCAGATTTGGCCACTGAGCACGATGGATGGGAGTCTGCCAACCTCTCTCAATGGGTCGCTTCTTAAATCCAGCCACAGGTTGGCTTGCCGCAGTGTGACCAGCTGTCAGGTCTTTCACGGGAGCATTCAAGCACATTCACCGCTGGGCATTTTGGCAGATGTGGCCAGCATGGAGCAAACCTAGGAACTGGCGATTGAAGGAAAATACCTGATGTGAACGGAGCCAATCAGAAGGGGCCCTGCAGCTCAGGGGCTGGAGATCTGTGGAGTGAACATGGTGGGGCAGAGTAGCCTAAGCCCAACCCTCCTCCCTCAGGAGCCAGGAGGCCCCTTTCCCAAGGAACCCCTCTCTGCCTCTGAACCACAAGGGCACCTCAACACAGGCCTACCAGCAGAGCAGCAGCCCTGGTTTGTCCCAGCGCCTTAGCAGCAGCTCCACTCTGGGGGTTGACCGGGAGGGACGACAACAGGGCAGGCTGCAACATTGGGAAGGGCTGCCCAAGGACAAGCTGCTCACAGGGGGACGTGTGGGGATTTCATGCTGGAAACCTCTGCCTGGTGGTGGGAGAGCATGGAGAAGAGCTGGGATTGTGGATAGTTTCCCCCCCCTGCTCCTAACTCCACTTGAGGTCATGTGATTGGCCTTAAAATAGAGGGGTCCAGGCTGCTGCCCTGCCCACAGGGATGCCCTGGGGGCTCACTTCTATTCTCCTTCCACAGCCCATAACTGATTTTCCAACTCATCCCCGCCCCATCCCACCCCAGAGGCTTCTCCCTTGCTGCAGGCTCAGTCCCATTCCATTCTCTTTTTGCATGGCTGGACAGGGAGAATTTCAAGCCTCCGTTTCCACTTCTGGGCTGGAAAGAATGAAAAGACACAGGCCTAAAAACCTGCCATATTCTGGCTTGGCACCCAGATGCAGAACTCTTTAAGGAGCCCAATAAGCTGCAGCTGCTCTGGGCCCTCCTTCTTCCCTCCCCAGAAAGGCAGGCAAGAGGCGGAAGGACGGATGGCTAAGGCTTCTGCACCGGGAGCCCAAACATTAAAGAAAGGAGCACAAAACGGTAACTATAGCCCAGAGGTTCTCTGCTGCCACAGGAGTGGACAAGCACTGGCTAAGAGGACTTGCAGCAGCACCTTCAGAACTGACCAGCTCAAGTGCCCTGAACAGCCGCCAACTGGCTGGCCTTTGAAAGGGAGGAGCAGAAGGGCAAAGCTTTACCCTGAAGATGCGTGATGGGTGATGCACCCCAGTGAGGGTGCTTCTGAGACAGACAGAATCATTCACATGAGCTATTCAGTTCTTGGTCAAGATTCCCAGCAACGAGAGCGCCTGGCTATCTTCTGACCTCACAGTTGCTCTAACCTGCACCGTTACCTTTTTCAGAAAACCTTCATGTCTGCATATCCAAATACACAAGACATGCAATCCTAACCCCATCTAGACAAAATATAACTATGTTTACGTTGCCCCAAGAAATCACAGAGTTTAGCCATGGTGGCACAGTGGTTAGAATGCAGGATTGCAGGCTGACTCTGCTGACTGCCAGCAGTTCAGGCCTCACCGGCTCAAGGTTAAGTCAGCCTTCCATCCTTCTGAGGTTGGTGAAATGAGGATCCAGTTGGGGGCAAGAGGCTGACTCTGTAAACTGCTCAGAGAGGGCAGTAAAAGCACTGTGAAGTGGTATAGAAGTCTAAGTGGAAGAGCCTTGGTGGTGCAGCAGACTAAAATACTGTTAAGTAACACCAGCTGCCTGCAATTACTTCAAGTTCAAATCTCACCAGGCTCAAGGTTGACTCAGCCTTCCATTCTTTCAAAGTAGGTAAAATGAGGACCCGGATTGTGGGGGCAATAAGCTGACTTTGTATTAGAGGGGGAAAAAAAAAAACACCGCTGGGAGGGGGGGGGCTGAAAGCCCTACTAAGCAAGTATATACAAAATTATGAAGGCTATTGCTTAACGCATTGTAAGCCGCCCTGAGTCTCCAGAGAAGGGCAGCATATAAATCGAACCAATAAATAAATAAATAAGTGCTAGTGCTATAATGGACTAATCTCCAAGAGGCTAAGACGACGGCCAAGTTCCCATGCCAAAGACTGCTGTGAGGTGGCCAGTAATGATCCAGCCTTTCACACACGATACTAAAGTGCATATTAGACCCAGCAGGCAAACTGAAACTGCCTGATGACCCTGGAGGTATCAAACCCTGGGCTGCTGTCTTTTCTGAGCTGTGAAGGGAGTCAAGGATCCCTGCCCTATAACCCCCCACCCCTATATGGCCACCTAGAGTTACCCTTGTCAGATGGGAGGCTATATAGATTGACTTCCACAAAGAAACGGAGAGGAGGGAACCATGGCCCTTGGCCTGCCTTCCAATCCTTGGCTGGGAGAAGGCATGCAAGGAGCGTACAGATCAGGAGGGGGAAATCTTAGCATCTTCTGGCCCGGAGTGGCCGGAAGCAGCTCACCAACCTCCAGGGACTGTTGCATCTCCATGCCCCGAGATGGACAGCAGTGCTTGAGGGAACGCCCTGGGACTTCATCTAAAGGCCAGGATCTGCTTCAAGCCCAGGCACTCACAGGACAGGCTTCAACTGCTGATGCTTTATTGGCTGGCCTCAACTGCCGGCTTGAGAGTCCGGAGGATTTCCCCAGTCCACATTTGGCACAAATATTGGAACAAACACTGGCCAGACTCCTGAAAGGAGCCCTTTAAAAAGAACAAAGACCCCAAATTGAATCCCTGCAGCCCCAGCGAGGCATTACACTCCGGCTGGAGTCTGAACTGGGAGCCCTGGCTGGTCCTGTGGCCTCCCCACCCAATGGCTAGGAATGGCTACTGCTTGCCTTGAGGCCAGAATGGGGAAGCCAGCCTCATGAACCCAACCCCACCAACCCCCGCAAGCAGAGCTGGCGGGGGTTTCATCTCTTCCCCGAAAGCCACCAGCTGCTGCTTCTGCCCACGTGGCTCAGGACAGCCTGTCTCTCTTCTGGGCTAAAATGCAAAATAGTCAATATGGCTGTCAGGGTTTGCTGGCGTCCCAACAAATCTGTCAAAGTCAGGAACCTGTAGAAAATGTTCTTGAGGTACTCCAGGTTAGCTCCCTCTCTGCTCCGGTCCCTGAAGGTCTTCTGAATGTGGCCCTGGAGCAGAGAGACCTCCTCTCGGTGCTTTTCTCCTTCCTCCAGCAGCTTCTCTTGCAACTGGTGAGCCTCCATCTCCAGCTGGTGCTTCTGCTTCTTCAGGGCCAAGATCTCCACCTCTTTCCGAGCCAGCTGCTCTGTGTACAGCAGGAAGGTAGGCTCGCTGGGGGCAGGGAGAGGCAGGGTCAGGTGCTCCAAAGCATCATCACCCACCCCACTGTCGCTATGGACACTGCTGCTGCCACCACTACCTGGCCCTGTGGCTGCTTTGGGGGCCTGCAGCCCAAAGGGCACGGCCAGGACCCTCAGTTGCTGCAGCTCCTGGTCCTTTTCAGCCAGGACGGCCAGGGCCCGATTGCGCTGCTTGTGCATCTCCTCCTCCAGTCGGAGGACCTTCTCCTGGCCCTCCGACAGGCATCGCTCCAGCTCCTGGCGGTGGAGCTGCTGGAGGAGAGCCACTTCTCGCCTCTTGGCCTCCAGCTGCTCCTGGTGTTGCTTGGCCTCCGCTTCGCAGGACAGCCGAAGGGAAACGTACTTCTCCTTCAGCTCCGTCAGCTGCTCCTGGCTCTCCTCCAGCTCCTTGGCCAAATTCCCATCCTTGGCCGATTTGCTTTTCAGGACCACCTGCGCCCTCACTTTGTACCTCTCAAACTCCTCCTTCAGCTGCTTGAGCTCCTGTTGATAATAGGCCATGGTGGCCTTCTCGCAGTCTCCAGACTCTGTGTCCTTCGGGGGCTCAGCCGGGCAGAGGGCCTCGACATCCCCCACGAGAGACGGGGCATGCTCGGCAGCCACTCGTGCCAGCTTCGTCAGCTTCTCCACCTTGTCGCTCAACACGTTGGCGTCCAGGTGGCCGTCCTCCAGGGTGAGGCCCACGGCGGCGTGGCCAGAGGCGGCGACAGCGAGGGTCTTGTTTTCGAGGTCCAGCTGGACAGCGCGGTCCTTCAGCTTCCGGATGGCGGCCTGGTCCTTCTGCCTGGCCTTCTCGTAGGCACCCAGCAGCTCCGACATCTCGGAAATCCGGGCCTCCAGGGCGGCGCCGCGCTGCTCTCCCATCCGGAGGTGCTCGTCGGCTTGGGCGGCCTGGGGGGGCAAGGAGGAGAGGCGGTCACTCTCGCCCGCGGGGGGGGGGGGGGGGGGGGGGGGGGCCCCCCCGCGCCCACCTTGCCGGCCTCCTGCAGCAGCTGCGCCTGGAAGTGGCCCCGCAGGCGCTCCAGCTCGGCCCGCAGCTCTCGCGGCTCCTCCCGGCGCGCCTCCTCCAGGCCCAGCTCCGCCTCGCGCCGCCGCGCCCGCTCGTCTTGCAGCAGCCGCTGGAGCTCGCGCAGCATGTCGGCGTGGTCGGCCTGCTCCTGCGCCCGGTCCCGCTGCTGCGCCGCCAGCCGCGCCCGCGCCTCCCGCGCCTCGCCCTCCAGCCGCTCCCGCTCGGCCCGCGCCTCGCGCCGCTCCGCCTGCCAGCTCGCCTCCAGCCGCGCCTTCTCCCGCGCCAGCGTGGCCAGCGCCGCGCCCAGCCGGGCCTCGGGGCCGCCCGCCGCCGCCGCCGCCTCCGCCTCGGCCGCCGCCGCTTCGCCGGGCTCGGCCGCCGCCGACCCCGCCAGCGCGCCCAGGCCGGCCTCCAGCGCCGCCCGCTCCGCCAGCAGGCCCTTGTGCGCGCGGACCAGGTCCCGCAGGCGCGCCCGGTACTCGCGCAGCTGCTCCTCCTGCGCTGCCACCGTCGCCAGCAGCTCCCGCCGGCCCGGCCCTCCCGCCGCCGCCTCCGCCGCCGCCTCCATCGCCCCGCCGCGCGGCCCGGAAGACGCGCCCTCACGCGCCTGCGCGGGCCCGCCCCCTGGCGCGCGGTGGGCGCCGGGAGCGAAAGGGGCGGGGCAGCGACGTAACCGGGGAGCCGGGACGCCGCCCCTCGCCCCGCCCCTCCGCCGGTTCCGGCTCTCGGGCCCTCGGGGCGCGGCGCGTTCGGGCAGCCCGAGCAGGGAGGAGGCGGGGCGCAGCGGGCTCCCTGCCCGGCGCTGCCCGCCTTCGTCCGCACTTTGGCCGCGGGTCGTGGCCGGGCGGCAGAGCCGCGCTCAGAACCAGGTGCGCGACGCGAGCGGGAGAAGCGGCCCAGGAGGTCCCGGGCGCCCCGTGAGCCCCAGGCGGGGAGGCGGCTGCCCAAGAGCCGTCAGGCGCTCCGGGCCGTTCCGGGTGGGCCAGCGCATCTCCCTCCAGGATGGCGCCCGGCCTTCGAGGAAGGAGCCGGCCAGCTGCAATGGGACCCGCAGGGAGCCCCCGAGACGCCGCCAGGGCCAGGAGGGAGGCGGGAGGCGGGAGGCGGGAGGAGGAGGGCGCGTCGGAGTCTGGCCCACATCGCCGCCGGCGCAGAAGGACCGAAGGGGCCGGGATTCCGGGGCTCGCCCCGTACGGAGGCTGCTGCCCTAGGCAGTCGACGTGGGGGATCCCACAGAAGCCGGCGGGGTCCTTGGCCGCCTCGCAGAGCGCCGAGAGGGAGAGGCCTCCTTGTTCCCCATCTGCTGCGGTGGAGAGCCGGGAAGGGCCGTGACAGGCTGGAGGACGGATGATCGGAGACCAGGAATGGAAGGAAGCTTAGGAGGAACTCGGTGGGAGGCGCAGGGCTGGCTGAAGAGCGTTCTGAGGCCCAGGTGTCCACCTGAAGGGCCACCGGGCGGAATAGCTGTGGAAGTAGGCATTCCAGCAAGAAACTGTCTCGCGTCAGAAGCCTCCTGGGCGCAATCGCTCATGTCCGCTCAATACCGTCCAGTTGCTGAATTTGCCCATTTACTGAATTTCCAGTCTGAGTGAAGTCAGTTGGGCAGTCGGCCTCCCTTGGAAGAGCTCAGGTCTTCTCTGCAGGCATCAAGGGTCCTTGGGTTCAATTCCATCCCAGGCCACCAGGAGGTATGAGGGACCCCCAGGGCCGCCTGGTCACAGCTGCCGCCGATTTCACCCCCTGACCCATAGTAGAATTACCTAAGGATACTGCCCTGCCACATCGGCCCCGCTGCTGCCCCCCAAGAGTGCGAGCCAGCTAATGAGGCTTGAGGTGTGGATGTTCTGCTTCTGGAGATGGGGAGGGGCTCCACTGGGAGAGCGGGTGGGCATCCCCTTTGGGAGCCTGGAGGGCAGTGGAAAGCCAGGCGGTTCTTCAGTGCCCGCATTGTGAGGTAACCAGGGGGTCACAAAGGGCAGAGCTGCCAGGGGCTTCTAGCCCTGGAACGCTGGGAAGCGTCACCCGGAGGGCTTGCCTGGGCCCACACACCAGAGCCTGGACCAAGTGAGACCCAGGGGTGGAAGTGGGGAATCTGCCATTCCCGCTCTGCTCTCCTCCCTCATGCAGATTGGGCTCGTCAACTGGACGGGGGGGTATCTCACCTGCGAGTGCTATGGGGATGATGTCAGTGTCTTGGGGAGCTCGCTGGGAAAGAAACAGGTATGGAGGGAAGGAACTGCCAGCCCTGATGGCTGGCTCTGGGGGCAGAGGGAAGGGGCTGAGCTCCTTCAGGCAGTGGGAAGGCAGCCCCCCTGGCAGCAATGCTTGCTCCCTGCCTGGCATCCAACCAGGCAGTGGCCCCTTTTGCTCCCGCAGCCACCAGAGGAATTAAAAGGGGGGTGTTTATTTTCGTTTATTGAATTTGATTATTTTGAATTGGGAGTCGGGAGGAGGCAGCTGCTCTCCATTCCTTAGGAACCACCCATGGGTGCCTTGAAGTTTGCCCCTCCCATCCACAACCCACCATCCCCACAGGGAGAGCCTTGCTGAATAGGCAGAAGGGGCCCTCAGAAGAGCCTTGAGGCTCCTGGACCACCTTTGGGGCATAGAGCTGGGAGCGTCCCACCCAAGCACCAATGTGAGGCCGGCATCCTCGAGCGCAGGGAAGGGGACCCTCCCTTTGGGATTCCATGGAGCGTCCAGGCTGAGCTGGTGGGAGGAGGAGCCAGTTTACCTGCAGCTAAGAAGGCAGAGCTCCAGCCTTGGGTTGGAGCCCAAAGCAAGGGAGGCTGCACCCAGGCTGGGAAAGGCCTGGTTCTCCTCGGCTGAGTGGCAGCTGGGAGATTCTGCTCTGGGAGGCTCCTTTGGCCAGTTGACCCTCACCCTCAACAGCAGACCAACAAAAGAAGGGCGTCAGGGCGATTGGGCTTTGCCTGACTGCCCAGCTGGGCTGGTGACTGGCCACTTTTGCTCTCCCAGACCTGGAAGCTGAGGGTGACCACAGAGCAAGGGAAGCAGGACGTGGTGGCACTGGTTGGGCATCAAGGGCAGTACCTCCTGGTGGAAACAGATGGTACGGTGCGTTGTGGACGGCCGGTGGCTGAGAAGCAAAGCCGGTTTCTGCTGGAGGTCCATCCGAGTGGGGCCTGGACCCTCCAGCAGCTGGAGAGCCAGAAGTTCCTGGAGTCTGATGGTGAGGACGTGTTCTGTGTGGCCCGAGGCCTGACCGCTCACCACCTGTGGATGCCCCAGCTGGCTGAGCACGTGCACGTGGTCCTCTTCAACCCCAGCAGCCAGCTCTACGCCCGGACTGACCCGGAACTGAATCGGGTCTGGGTGGATGCTCCCGTGCCCTATCTGGAGGAATGCAGCTTCCTCCTGCGGTTCAGGAAGGGGACCTGCCACTTGGAGACTTCCACCCATAAGTTTGTCTCCAGATCAGAGAAGCTGGCCACGATGCCCTCCACGGAGACGGCCTTTCACCTGAACCTGAAGCCCGGTTGCCTGGCCTTCCTCACAGACATGGAGGGTCACGTCTTATACCCGCAGGGCAGCCGGGGGCTCCTCTGCCTTGGGGACCACCCAGAGGAGAACGAGGAGTGGTTTGTCATCAAGCGGTGCCCACCGTGGGTCAGTCTGAGGACAAGAGCCAATAGATTCGTCAGCATCATTTCTGGCAAGTAAATCCCTGTTTTTCCAGCCCAGGAAATAATGGTAGGAACAGCTGCCTGGAGAGCAGGGACTCATCCCACTCTTACCTGGTCAGGTCACTACAAACCTGAGCCACTTCAGAATTCAGATGGGGACAGAAGGAGGGCTCTCCTGCCACCTTGTGACAATAAGAAGTCAAAAGCTTTGCCTTGAGTTTGACTGCTGGGACCTCAGAAATATCTCTGCCTCCCTGCATGCAGAGTGTCTCTAATGAGACACCCTAAGGAGCTGCCCGGGAGGAGTGTTTGGAAGCTGCAGCTGGTAGAGAATGCAGCGAGGTGGGCAATTCTTGGGGCCTCTAGGATGGCACATGTGACCCCATTGCTAAACAAGCCCAGGCTGCCTGAGAAACTGGCTCACCCTAGTGGGATTACCTACTGCACTAGCAGAAAAGACCTACTTTGGATCCCATTGGCCAAAGAATTTCAGTTGGCAGGTTCCAGGAGAAGAGCTTTTTCTGCTGTGGCCCCCATCCTTTGGAATATTCTCCCATCAGAGGGGAGGTCCACCTCCACACCCCCATCCTTCTGGAAGAGCCTGAACACCTGGCTGTGCCACCTGGCCTTGGGCCCTACGAGGAGCCTGCTATATTGGGATAGAGAAGATTCGTGCCCAAGGCTGCCCGTTATCTTAGTTTTTAACTTTTAACTTCTCTATCCTAATTGTTTTTTTAAGCACTTTTTAAGTTATTATATTGTAGGTCACCCGGTGTCGCTGTATCAGTGAGGTGGGCAGCATAGAAATTTAATAAATAAATGAATAAGGAAAGCTATTCTGAAAGCCGCATTCTCTGAACTGGCCCCAGAGTTTTTCGTGAGGGAGGGGGCTTTTCATTCAGAGGCTTTCAGCTGCTTTTGGAACAAACTGAGTAGCCAATTGGCAAAACTCCTTCCCCTTACAATTCTCATTCTTACTCTCTCTCTCTCTCTCCTCAGACTCCGAAGTCTACGCTGGTCCTAAGAAGCTGAGCCCAATGTCCACGTTCCTCTTTGAAATGGACTCCATCACACAAACGGTGCAGTTAAAAGGTGTCCATCACAAGTACCTGGCTCAGGTCAGTCCCCTGCTGCTGCTGCCTCATCCCCACAGCAAGTGGGAGGTCAGGATGAAGCCCCCGGGGAAGGGGCTGCACAGGGAGATCCAGCACTGGACTCTGGGCCAGGGACGGACAGCGGCCTGGCAGTCACCCACCAAACACGAGCAAGTGGGGATACATGCCGGGCCAGCAGTGACTCTTTGGAACTGAGACAGGACAGGCTGAAGGGGGCGAGCTGAAGCCCTGGGGAGTCAGCCTGAGTCTCGGGTGTGTGGGGGGGGGGGGGGGGGGGGGGGTTGGGTAGCAATAGCGGAGCAGTAGAAATAGTCTGCCTAGGGCAGAGTGGCCTCCCCAGCTCGACTAGAGCTGGATGGCCTGCTTGGGCTTGACTCTGAGTAAGGCAACATGATGACGATCCAGGCTGTTTCCGGCCCCTCCTTGGGAGGTGGGAAGAGCCATTCCCGACCTTTGAGGCCAGCTTTGGGAGAGCCTGCATGGCTCCTATGGTGTTGTTTCTGTCCCCCATTCAGCACTTAGCACATCTGTGAAGAAGCCTCCCTTGGCCAGGCTTTTCCCCCTTCCTTGATTTCCCTGCTACGAAGACGCTTCTCTTGCTGGCCCTAGGAGGAGGTTAATTTCCCCTTCCATCCCCCTCTGCTCACACAGTGGGACCTGCCCTGCCTGGCCCAGGCCAGCCCCAGGAATGAGTCCGCAGATGCCACCCTCACTCTCAGAGGGAGAGCAGATCCTGCCTGTCGCCCTCCAGTGGGGCAGAGCTCCTGGAAACCTTTCAGTAAGCATGCCCCTCCTGACCGTGGCATTTCTCCTCCCCAGAGACCCTTCCGGTGCGTGCTGGCCAACGGGGCAGCCAAGGAGGCAGAGACCAGGTTCCAGGTCCTCTGGCATTATGGGAGGGTCTTCCTGAGAGCTCCTGGGGGTCGCTACCTGGGAACCCTGCCAGTGGGGCTGCTGGTAGCTCGAGCCACGCACCCAGGTAAGAAGGACCTGCGCCTTGAAGCAAGCTGCTCCTGTGGCCCCTCCTGGCCTTGGAGGGGAGGGAAGAATTTGGCCTGGGAAGGTTTTCCTCCGAACTCCCTCCCAGCCCCACTCCCTTCCACCCGCCTCCCTCAGCCCTGCGGTGCCCCCTCGCCCACCCTCCCCAGCCTGCTCCTCGCACAGCCTCCCCAGCAGATTCCACCCCTCTTGCCCTTGGCACCCTTAGGGCCCCCCCACATGTTGTCGTCCTCCCCTGCGCTTCTCCTCTGACCGGTTGTGGGGAGCCGGCAGGGTCCTGCCTGGCCTAACCGCGGTGGGATTCAGTTGAAGGGTGGGAGCTGGGGGGGGGCCACTGAGGAGAGGAATCCCCTCCTGCTTCCGTTGTGAGGGGAGGGCTGCCTGGGGGCCCTCCAAAGCCCTGGCAGCAGTGAAGTCCCCCCGGGCCCCCCGCAGGGCCCCCCTCGGCTTGCCATTTCAGGGGTCTCTGCTTACTAGATGCCTTCAGCAACGGCCGAGCTTCTAATGGACTTGGGAAGTTAGTCCTCAACTTACAACAGTTCGTTTAGTAACCGTTCAAAGTTACAACAGCACCGAAAAGAGAGACTTATGACCCACCCACCCACCCACACACACACACACACACCCAAGCACTGCTGCATCCCTGGGGTCGCGGGATGAAAATTCAAACGGGCCAGGGAATTTGGGCGGCAGGCGTCCAAATGAAGCCAGAGACGCTGACAGGAACTTCTAGCTTTGCCTCAAGAACTAGGCTTTACACAACCTCTGCTCACGGCAGCAGAGCAGGGCAGAGAGCCAGGCAAGCGGAGCATCCTGGGGTAAATCGCAACAGGAGGAAAAGGCGGGAAGACAGGGAACCGCACCTCCACACCTGCAGCGGCCAATCACAGCGCAGATCGCCTCACACAGCAGCCATCAATCAACCACCCACCACTGTGCCTTCTGGCTCCCTGCACGCCCCTCCAGCCGCTGAATTTGAATCTCTTCATGGGAATCTTGGCCACCCACTCGCATTTATGATGGCCGCAGTGTCCCCGCGGTCACCTGATCCCCTTTTGCAACCACTTCACAAGCAAAGTCCATGGGGAAAGTCAGATTCACTTAACAACCGGGTAACTAACTTAACAACTGCAATGATTCACTTAACAACTGTGGCAAAAAAGATCGTAAAGTGGGACAAACCTCACTGAATGACTGTCTCCTTAACAATGGTAATTTGGGCTCAATTGTGGTTGTAGGTCGAGGACTACCCATATTAAAAATTCAGGTATCCATTAAGAAATGTATCTTTAACTTGAAAGTCTGCATAGCATAGTCAAACATCAGCACAAATGTTTTTTTTTTACAATGTTTGTATTTATTAAATTGATAGGCCACCCACTTTCCTGTCCATCAACTGATTTGTTGTTTCATTTATTTACCAACTTTTGAAACCACCTTCTGAGAAGGGGATTCTGCATAGGCCAGCGGTTAGCTGATGGGAGCTTCTGGGTGCCCCACCAGGCTTTGTGTGCCAGTCCCCCTTCCCCTCCGCCTCCCGGTCTCTGGGCCAGCCCCCCCCCCCCAGCCCTCCACAGTTCTTTTCTGCTGTAGGGCCCAACGAAGAGTTTGTGCTGCGCTTTGCCAATCGCTCCTTCCTGGTGCTGCGTGGGCACTACGGCTACGTGGGCAGCTCCCCCTGCCGAGAGACCCTGCAGGGCAACCTTCTGGAGCCGGAGCCTGTGGAGATCCTGCCTTGCAAGCATGGCGTCTACCACCTTCAAAGTAAGTGGGGGTGGGGTCCCCCCTCCGCTTCACAGGGAAACCCTCAGGGGCTTCCTCCCCAAAGAAGCCAGGCCAGGTGGGGCTTCCTTCTCTCTGGCTGCTCGCCTAGTGATCACATCCACACAGAAACCATCTTGGTCTGTTTTGGACAACTTTCAGTACAAACATCTCAGAAATACACTCCTTCCTATCCCCTCCCCTCCCTTGAAGCCAGAGGCTGCTGATGGGAGAGATGGGAGACTAACCCCTTCCCCTTCCCCTCCCTCCGTCCCACAGGCCGAGGAAAGAGCTTTTGGTCCCTGACCCCAGAAAGGACCTTCAGTCCGTGGGGGAAGTTTGCCTTGAACTTCTACCTGGAGATCCAGGGGAACAACCTGCTGGCCATCATAGCCCCCAATGGCTACTACGTGCGTGGAGACCGGGGCGGTTGCCTGGTGGCTGACAGTGAGGAGATTGCCCAAGACTGTCTTTGGGAGTTCTAGCCTAGGAAAGGTAAGGAAGGCCAGAAACGTTCCTGGGATGGAGGGGATGCAGGGGGAGGAAGAGATGGCCCAACCACCTTGCTCTTGGGGCCCCCACCTGTGGGTCCCATGTGGGTCAGAGGACTGCCGTGGGCGCATTGCTAACTTTCCGTCCTTGTCCACAGGCCTTGTCTGAAAGAAGTGCCCCTGCCGAGCGGCTGTCTGGACACACTCTCTAGGGCGCTCCGCCATTATTTGTCCAGATGCTTCAGTGGAGGCTGCCCGGTGGCTGAGGAGGAGCTTGTTGCTCTCCCCATGAGCCAAAGGGGTCCCTCCACTCGCCTCCGAAATCCCGTGGGGAGCCACTTGTGAGCTCTTTGCACCAATGAAGTAGCTTCATCCCTTTTGGGCCCCTGCTGCATTTTCTCCTTTGCCTCCTGACTTTGGGAAGTGGGGCAGAGGTCTCTGCTCTGGGTTCACATGGAGGGGAGGAAGCGGCTTCCAGGGAGCTGTAAATGAATCCAAACCAGGCGGTTTGTTCTGCCTGGGAAGCAGGGCCACTCTGAGCAGCCCCGAGGGTCCTTGCGCTTCCCAGCCCAGCTTTACAGCGGGCTTGGGTGCTGCCTGTCCAGAGGAGGAAAGAAAGATGCCATTTGAGCCTTGGAAAGCCCCGGGCTGTATGTGTGCAGGGCCCCCTGTCTTCTGCCCAGAGGCCTAGGGTTTGCCTTCCCCGGGGTTCAGGAAGCCAGTGGGCCTCTCTCCTGGCCTGGGAAGAAGGGTCAAGGGCTACAAACATCATTGGAAAGGACAGGGCAAATTTTCTCCCCCTTTTTCCATGGGGAGGGGATCAAGAGCAGTTGTCAACCTTAGTTATTCCCCTCCCCAGCCCTTAGCTTGTTTTTTCTGTTTGGCAGAATCTGATCCACCCTACCCTCAGTTTCCATGCCTTAAGAAACCCCCTGCCTTTGCTTTCCCAGCGGCCCTGTCCATGCGTTTCATTCCCTCTGGGTTTGCTCTGCTCCCTCTGGGAGTCTCCCCCCATTGCTGCGGCTGTAATTTCCCCATGTTTATCTTTCCTCAGGCCCCTCCAACCTCTTTCCTTGCCTCTTCCATGCATCAGCCTCTTCTTGAGCTGCCTCACCCACACTCTGTCCCTCTGGGACTCTTGCATGGGCCTCCTCGTACTTCTCTTCCAACGGTCCTGCTTTCTTTCCTCCTCCTCCTTCTCTTCATTTCCCCCAAATCTCCTTCTTGACGCTGCACAGCAACCGCCTGCCCCACCTTCTGTCTTTCGCTGCAGAGCTCAGTCCTTCTTCTGGAAAATCCCATCAGCCGGGATTTCAGTTGGGCATAAGCAGACTTCATATACACCTTTTTTTAAGTGAACATTCATTCAAGAGTCACCATTCTTACTAATTCTGGCATCTTCCGGTGATCAAATTGCCTTTTCTGTAGTATAAGCTGTTGTGTTATCACAGTTCAGTGGCAGGAAGCAGAAAACATCATTTCCGTATGCGCCCACAGCAACCCACATAACGTCAGTTTAGCCTTTTATTCATAAATTAATCTGCAATTTTACTTTCCTGCAAATGTACATTCAGGTCTTCAAAATCAAACCATTTTGATGTTTTTTGTCCCCAATCATCTGGAGGCTCTCTTGGGATGGATTTGGTTTCCCTGCTACCCCCAGACCTGAGAAGGGAATCTTTGGGTTGTCCGGAGGCAGAAAAGAGGTTTGGTGGAACAGCTCAGTCTGCCCCTCCCCCCTCCCTGAACAAAAAAATCAAATTCGCTCATTAGCGTTCATCCCGTAGCTTGGAAAGAATCACAAGCAGGGCCCTAAAAGACTGCAATTCAGGCCGCCTCCCTTACGGGGCAGCCGCGCACAGGCCCGCCCTCGGAGGAAGCCGCGCTGCTCAAATCCCAACACCTCAGGCGCCCCAAGCGGGAGATGCTGCGGGGTCCCGCGTGCGAGGGCTTCCCTGGTAGCCGGGAGCGGCTGCGCGCGGCAGGCCAGGAGGTCCGAAGGCCGAGTTGGGCCGGCGGCGGCGGAGCTCTACGCTCGGACGGCGAGGCTGCTTTCCGTCGCCGGGCCCGCAGCGGGGCTTCCTGTGCTCGGGCGGCGGCCGGTTCCTTGCCGCGGACGGAGAGCCGGAGCTGAGGCGGGCGCCGGGAGGTTACGGCTGTCGCGCTGGCCTTCCCTCTACTGGAGCGCGCCGCCGCTGATCGCCCGCTTCACCCCGGTTGGCAGACGGTGGAAGCCGGGAGCCTCCGTCTGCTGCAGGCGTAGAAATGCTTTCCCCGCTTTTGACCCCCCCCCCCTCGCTTCCCCAAAACTCCACTCCCTTCCCCTCTCTCCGCTGTCCCGCCTCAACCCCAAAACCTCTGGGAAGGTCGGCCTTTCTGCTGCGCCGCCTCGCTCTTTCCTTCAAGGGCACTCAGTAGAGAGGCGGCTTCTCTCTCCTTTGGCCGAACCTCCTCACACCGGCCGGAGGGGCGGCCAGGGCGTCAGAGACCAGGGCCGTAGGTTGGAGGGTGCCAGGACAGCCCCGTCAGGGTCAGCAATCCCCAGCAGGGGAAGCAGCAGCGGCAGGCGTGGCTGGTGCCCACCTACTTGGCCACGGAGGGCTGCAGGGAGGCTGCAGACTTGGTACCCTGGTGGGCAGCCGCCATTCACACGCAGCCCCTGGGAAGAGACGAGGAGGAACCACGCTGTCCCACTGAGGGCTGGGATGGGGCAAAGAGTAAAAGAGGCAGCCCACCAGCTGCCCTCCAAGGCTGGGCATTGACTCAGACCGTGGCAACAGCCTGGGGTTGGCATTAAGGCTCCTAACAGTTGCTGTTGGGCATGGGGCCGCTTTCTCTTTCCAGACGGGCACGGGCCTATGGGTAGGGGTCCTGGGGCAGCCTCTTTCTAGGATTGGTGGGTCTCCGTTGCAATCCTAAATAAGTACCTGGGGTTGCAGGTGTCAGCCCAGAGCCAGTGTGCTGTGCCCGTGTGGCTTCCCGTCGCCATCTCGCTCTCCGATTGGAGAACCAAATCTAATCCAAATAAAGACAAAGAGGATCAGGTGGGGGCTTCTTCCTGCTTGGGAAATGCACCCCCTCCCAAACCAAAGGAGAGCCTTGTGCAGATCAGGGGACTTGTCCAGCTCAGCGGTGCATGAGGGCCTCCCTCGACTCACCCTAAGGGTGGCTTCAGGCAGTCCAGACTGCCCAGCCAGTTCTGCCCGGGTGGCTGCTTCTGGGTATTGGCTTCTCTGGAAAGCTGGAAGAGGGAGTGAGCAGATCAAAGAACAGCCAGGGGCCAGAGCAAGCCAGGGGCCCTTGTCCTGCCCAGCGGCTGCAAAGGCCAAGGCCGGAGTTTTGCAGGGGCCACATCACTCTGCCCCCAGAAATGTGATCGTGGCTGGCATCCCTTGCAAGCTTCCTTCTCTCCCATCTGCATCATCCATGTCTTAAAGGCAGGGGGTCTCCAACCTTGGCCACTTTAAGGCTTGTGGACTTCACCTCCCAGCCAACTACAAAGTTCCCAAGTCTTAAAGTGGCCAAGCTTGGAGACCCCCTGCCTTAAATGATCTCAGGGCTGCTGCTTTTCCCCCTAAACCGGTTACCCTTTTCTTGCTCCCTGACTCTTTATCATTTGAGTTGTTCCTTCCTCTATTTTACATGTCTATGAAGCTCTTCCTGAGGTGACAGGACCAAAATTGAGATGCTTCTGGATGATGAAGTGCAATCCCCCCCTTCCCCAAAATTCAACTAATCTGGTTTGAGAGCCCCTGCCAGATCCTCTTCCCCCGTCTTCAGAAGCAGAAGAGCCTTTATCAAAGAAGCCTTTACCTTCAGTGAGAGGCCCCAGTTCTTTGGGGCAGGGGTGTCAGAGGGCATCAGGACATTTCTTTTAATCTAGCCTAGAGCCATGATTTTAATGATTTTTATTTTGTGGCTTCGCAGTAATCAATTTCTTTATTTTAATCTGCTGTGTTTTGTTACTTATTACGGGAGAGCTTCTATGGCAACATTAGAAATCAAGCAAAAGAAGACAGTTTATAAAGTGCTCCCCTCAAACCTTTGCCCCCTCCCCTCCTTCGATGCCCTCCTGACTTACCGCTCTCCAGGGCCTCCAGCTGCTCCTTAGAGAAGACAGTCCTGCTCCGAGTTCTGGGCAGCCCAGACCGAGAGGAAGATGGGGAGGTAGGAGCCTCTGCCGAAATTTTCCTCTCCCCTTCCCCTGCCAAGGGGGAACCTATGGTGGGGGGAAGGAAGGGAGAGGCAGGGCAACAGTGGGTGCCCCGGGCCTTTACAGCCAAGGAAACACACCTTCCGCTTATCACAGGCAATATGATGCATCAGGGGCCTGGGCATGGCCCTGGTTGCACCTATGGATTCCATAGGATGAGGACACAGCCGGATGCAGTGGGAGGGGTTGTTGTGTGGCTGCGAAGGATGGGTGACCAGCAGACCTTTCAAAGAATTGGCAAAGTTGCCTCTTCAGCATCTTGTCTCACCCCCCATGAAGAATTCCAGCCATTGAGGGGGGAGTTTGGAGCCTTTTAAAGCCAAAGGAGAGCTCTAGAGGCACAATGGGAAGAATGGGGTACAAATGGGGAAAAACCCGGAGTCCCCGAGATAGACAATTGTTTCCTGAAACAGCTTGCTAGAAATATTGGGTTTTATCTTTGTTTATTCTGCTGAGCTCAACTCTGTCTTACAGTATATTTCTCTGTATTCATAAAGTTACAATATTTCCCTAGAATCTTGTACTCTCCAGCAATAACTTGAATTCCATTCCCATTTCTTTAAAAAGAGTTTTCCCTCTTATCTATAGCAGATCAGTACCACCTTGTGGCTGGTCTGGAGCAAAAAAAAAATCTGTTTTTTTTAGTGGTGATTTTGTTGTTGTTTCATTGCTGATTCTCAGAAGTTTTGCATTTTAGTGTCTAATGCAACATGGAAAATTTGCCTCTGAATGTGCAAGTTTTAAAAAAATAGTTTTTCTCTGACACAGTTTGCATTTGCTCATCTCTGGTGTGATTAGCCCAAGAATGGAAGAAAGAGTCATTTCACACCTGTAAGCCACAGGGGCAGGAATTTGCAATGTAAATCTGCCTTCCCTTGCCAGGAGGGAGCCAAGACTCTCTTTCTGTCACTGACCAGGCAGAAAGTGATGGCAGCGGGACCTCCAGGCTGCTCACCCACAGCTGGAGGGAGGGAGGGAGGGGGAGTCCAGACTGGGGACTCCTGGAAGGGAGATTTGAGCCCTCGGGATAGGCACCTTCAGGACTCAGCCATTCCAGGACCTTATTTTACTTTACTTTACTTTTACTTTGTTTTGGATTTATATACCGCCCTACTCCCGAAGGACTCAGCGTGGCGAACAGCCAAAAGATAAAACACACATAATACAAAATTTAAAA